GCGGGCGGGGCCGGGAGGGGAGGGGAGGGGGAAGGGCCGCGCTCGGAGCCCCCCGCCTAAAAGCCCCCCCCTCACCCCCCAGGTCCCGGGACTACTCCGCCCCGGTGAGCTTCATCAGCGCCGGGCTGAAGAAGGGGGCGGCGGCGGCGGCGGCGGCGGGGGAGGAAGGCCCCGACGAGGACTCGGAGGAGGAGGCGGAGAGCGGGGCGCGGGCGGAGGAGCCCCACAAGGAGGCTGTGCCGAAGAAGCTGAAGACGGTGAGGCGCGGGGCCGAGGAAGGGACGCCCCCCTCCCGGCCTCCCCGCGGCTCATCCCCGCTTCCCCCCTTCTGAACCGATGCAGGGCGGCAACTTCAAGCCCAGCCAGAAGGGCTTCGTGGGCGGCAGCAAGTCCTTCGGGGACTTTGGCAGCTGGGAGCGGCACACCAAGGGCATCGGGCAGAAGCTCCTGCAGAAGATGGGCTACGTGCCCGGCCGAGGCCTGGGGAAGAACGCCCAAGGTAGGGCCGGCTCTCCCTCTTTCACTCAAGCCCCTCCTTGCCTTCTCTGAAAACCGGGTTCCCATCCATGGTCACCACAAATCAGGGCTTTATAAAGTCCTCCCCTGGAGGTTGGTAGCCTCACCCATAAAGATGGGGCTGGAGGGGACCTTGGGGGGTCTCCTCAGTTGCCCAGTATTTTCTCAAAGTCCTTCCATTGGCACTTGCAGGGAGCTCTCCCTTTCACTAACCCTGAAGAACTTTCCTAGGCATCATCACTCCCATTGAGGCCAAGCAGAGAAAAGGCAAGGCAGCGATTGGGGCATACGGCTCGGAGCGAACCACACAGTCCTTGCAAGATTTCCCCACTGTTGACTCTGATGAAGAGGAGGAGGAGGTAAGACACACACACACACACACACACACACACACACACACACACACACGGCTGTGTAGCAAAACAAGGAGGGCTCTCGAATGGCTTGCTATGCTTCTATATGATAAATTGTTTTTCCTGAGCCCAAGTGGTTCATGCCAGACATTTCAGACTTGAGGCAAGGTTGGCATGGCTTGATCCAATCTGCCTCTGCTCTCCTGTAAGGTCTACAAGAGACCAGCTGCTGAGAAACCTTCTGTGGCTTCTCACCTCTTTGGACGAAACCCCCCCCCCCCCCCCATCACATGCAATCTCCTGCTTGATCTCAGTAACAAATGGGTGCCTTATGGATTGTGCCCTGCTTGGTCTCTGTTTTTGATGTTCCTCATATCCTCTCCCCTCAGGAATTTCAAAAGGAGCTCAGCCAGTGGCGGAAGGACCCCAGCGGGGGCAAGAAAAAGCCCAAGTATACCTACAAGACGGTGGAGGAGCTGAAAGCCAAGGGCAAGGCGGGCAAGCAGCTGTCTGCCCCTCAGAAGGAGCTGGCGCAGGTCAAGGTGAGGTGGGAGGTGGCAGCAAGATGGGTGTGCGGGGGGGGGGAGGAAGAGGGGGGCTAAGCAGTTCTGCTCCATCCAGGAAAGACCGCAATGAAGGTTCTGCCGTGGAAGGAGGTGGCAGCCCTTAATAAATCTCCAGCTGCCTCCCTGGGGTTGAATGGGCGTCAGCAGCCACCTAAGTTTGTTTGTTACACGTTTATGCTGCCCCTCTTCCCTGCAAGGGGACCCCTCCACTGTAGGGCCTGCCGTGCCCCTCTGCCTCCTCACTGTGTGTGGTTTCTCTTTTGGAAGGTGATTGACATGACGGGCCGGGAGCAGAAGGTTTACTACAGCTACAGTCAGATCAGCCAGAAGCACAACATCCCGGAGGATGGCCCCCAACAGCAGCTGCCCGCCTTGGGCAAGGATGCCAGGACGCCCACCTTCTCCCTGCCAGAGCTGGAGCACAATCTGCAGCTGCTGATTGACCTGACAGAGCAGGAGATCATCCAGAACGACCGGCAGCTGCAGTATGAGCGGGACATGGTGGTCAACCTGGAGCACGAGATCGAGAAGATGGAGAAGGTGCTCTTGCGGGAGGAGACCGACATCCGCGACCTCAGCGAGGTGCTGGAGCTGGTGGAAGAGTGCGAGAGGCGAATGCAGCCCAACTGCGAAGACCCCCTGACTCTGCCGGAGTGTGTCAAGATATTCGAGACCCTCCAGGACAAGTACTACGAAGAGTACCAGATGTCAGACCGCGTGGACCTGGCCGTGGCCATCGTCTTCCCTCTGGTCAAGGACTACTTCAAGAACTGGGATCCCCTCAAGGTGGGGCTTCCGGGGGCACCCCGGGGCGGCTCCAAGCGAGCTCTGAAGGCTGGTGGATTAATGCACAACTCACCAAAGGTGTGATTAGGACCATGTCTCTCGTTCCTCCCTGCAGGACTGCACAGCCGGCACGGAGATACTGGCCAAATGGAAAGCTCTGCTGGAGAACGATCAGTTGCTCTCCCACAGTGCCCAGGACCCCGGCTCAGATGCCTTTCACAGGTGAGCCTCCAGCAGGGGAGGAGAGAATCTTTAAATGGGTTGGGTCGATTTCGGCCCTGAATTGCTCGCTTGGGATCCTCAGGTTGATGTGGGAAACGTGGATGCCATACGTGCGAAACATTGTGGCCCAGTGGCAGCCCCGCCACTGCATCCCGATCGTGGACTTCCTCGACAGCTGGAGGCACATCATTCCGGTGTGGATCCTGGAAAACATTCTGGACCAGCTCATCTTCCCCAAACTACAGAAGGAGGTGCGATGGGCAATCATCCTTTAGCGTGCTGTGTGGAAGCTGCTTCCGCAGCCCCGGCCGCTACCCTTCTCTCTCTCTTGCTTTATAGGTGGAGAACTGGAACCCTCTAACCGACACCGTGCCCATCCACTCGTGGATACACCCCTGGCTGCCCCTGATGCAGGCCCGGCTCGAACCCCTCTACTCGCCCATCCGCAACAAGCTGTCCAACGCCCTCCAGAAGTGGCACCCCAGCGACTCCTCGGCCAAGCTGATTCTGCAGCCATGGAAGGAGGTTTTCACTCCAGGCTCATGGGAGGCTTTCATGGTCAAGAACATTGTGCCCAAACTGGGTGAGAGCAGGAAAGGCGGGCAGACCGTCAGCCATTTCTTTTGGGGAGAGGTGGGCAGGGATGGGTGGTCCGGCCCTGAAATCCCAGATGTTGAGATTCTGGCTGACCAGCCCCACTATTTGGCCTTGGTAAAAGAAGGAAGGCCGTTGCTTTCAGCCTTCACCCTCCACTCCCCACCAGCAAGGAAAGGCGGGGAGGATTTGGACTGGATGAAGGTCAGCTTATCTGCTGGTCAATGATCCTCCTATGGACTTAGAGCTGAGGCGGGAATCATCCTCCCAAGAGGGAGAAGGCAGACAGCTGCCAGCTCTGGGGTGGTTCTTGCTCTCCTCCTCCCTGGCTCACTTTTTGGGAGCCCCCTGCAGCCCCCACCCCCACCCCCGTGCCAGGCTTTGCAAAACCAAGCAGTTAATTTCACGAAATACCATAAAGGCTGGGCTGACTCGTTGGCTTGCTCATGAAGGAGCTGAGGTGCTTGTGGGGGAGCAGCCGTGCTGTGCCCCTCACCCAGGAGGCCAAGTTAAGGGTCGGTGGCCTTTCCTGCTCATTCCCTCCCCCCACAGGCCTGTGTCTCAACGAGCTGATCATCAATCCCCACCAGCAGCACATGGACGCCTTCTTCTGGGTGATGGACTGGGAAGGGATGATCTCCGTCTCCAGCCTGGTGGGGCTTCTGGAGAAGCACTTCTTCCCCAAGTGGCTGCAGGTGGGTGTCCCTCAGGGACTGGCCCAGATTAAGAGCCCCCAGGGGTTGGAGCCCGGAAGCATTTGGGCATCTTGGTGCTTGAACCCTGTTGCAGAAGGAGCCTTTGGGTTACTGGGAGTGGGAGGGAAGCCCCCCCACCCCCCCAGGTCAGTGGAGCTCATGGTGGGCTGTTGCTGAATGTCCCCTTTCTCTCTCTCTCTCTCCCCACCCCCCTCCTCAAGGTGCTCTGTTCTTGGCTCAGCAACAACCCCAATTACGAGGAGATCACCAAGTGGTACCTGGGCTGGAAGTCCATGTTTTCTGACCAGGTGCTGGCCCACCCCTCCATCAAGGAGAAGTTCAATGAAGCCCTGGACATCATGAACAGAGCCGTCTCCTCCAGCGTCGGTGGGTGCCGTGGGGGCCCTGGGCCCGATCCTCTCCTCCCACTTACCTGGAGTGCTTCGAGGCCACATCCTTGGCGGATTACAGAGAGGGGGCAGTGCACCTGTGGGGCCGCAGGCTTTCTCCTGACCCCTTTTCTTCTGTCTTGACAGGGGGCTACATGCAGCCTGGTGCGCGGGAGAACATCGCCTACCTCACGCATACAGAACGCCGGAAGGACTTCCAGTACGAAGCCATGCAGGAACGCCGAGAAGCCGAGAACATGGCTCAGCGCGGGATCGGCATGGCCGCCAGTTCTGTGCCCATGAACTTCAAGGACCTGATCCAGACCAAAGCAGAGGAGCACAACATTGTCTTCATGCCCGTCATCGGGAAGCGGCACGAGGGAAAGCAGCTCTACACTTTTGGGCGCATCGTCATCTATATCGACCGGGGGGTGGTCTTTGTGCAGGGCGAGAAGACCTGGGTGCCCACCTCTCTACAGAGCCTCATCGACATGGCCAAGTGAGCAGGAGGAGCCGGGCCCAAAGGGCTGCCCCACCACCTCCCCTCCATCCCAGAAAATGGCTTAGGGCTCCTTCCGAAAGAAAGAAAAGGACTGGAAAGACGCGGTCCTGACGCAGAGGACTTTATTTGTAACTAAAGCACATGCTTTACTCTGGTGCTTGTCTATTAAAGTGTGCAGGCTGCCATTCCTTCAGTGGGGGGCAAAGCAATTCTTTTGCCAAATCGTTGAAGGAGCTTGAGAAAGTTAGGAGAGGACAGGAACCGCCGTTAATAAAAGGCACAGGGTTCAAGAGAATGTGTTTAATGATTACAAAAGTCAATACGAGGTTCCCCTTCCAGTTTTGGGGAGAAATCCTGGCATGGCTTCCTAGAAGGAACAAGGCCCGACATTGTTTTCCACCTCCTGCGCCCTCCCCCCCCCCCCATCCCGCCCCCCGCCAGGGGTGGGGCCCACCCCCCGCCTGGGGGGGGGGGGTTTGGGCCCCCCACATTCTTGCCGCCGCCCCCCCCCCCCCCAAATTCCTGTGCATGAGGGAGGGAAATATTATTGGGGTTTGTTTCTGATGATCTCCAGCTGAGCCTCTTCCGGGTAAAGGGGCTCCGGCTGGCAGGCCCAGCAATCCTGGGGGAGGCCCCTCAGTTTCTGCAGAGGAAAGCGGTGGACAGAGGTGTCGTTGAAGACATCAGGGTGCTGCGTGTGGGGCAGAAGGGGTTCCTCTTGGGTCGCCTCCAACACCTGGGTGCAGGTGAGCACAAGGAGCATCACGGGGCTTGGCACATTGGCAGCCTGAGGCTAGAGAAGTTAACTGGCGGCCAAACCCTGAAGGCCACCCAAGGACTTCAGCTCTCCCCTCCCGCCGTGTGGTCCACGCAAGGCCACCGCCAGCCACCCAAGGACCGTGAGCTGGCCCTGGCTTCCGGCTTGCACGCTGTGCGCTGGTCTCGAGGGGGCTTTCAGGCTGTAAACATGGGGACAACCAGGTCCCTCCCAGCCGAGCTAAAGAGGAAGACCCACCTTGGCAATGTAGCTGTAATTCTCACGGAAGACTTTGGCCAGCAGCCTAAAACGGGAATTGGGGGTTGAGAGAAACCAGATATTACAAAATGTGGAGGGGGAAAGTAAAAACCAGGCAGGCCTTTGTGCAGCTTTCAGCCAAAGCGCAGGAGGGGAGCAAGGAAAAAGGGCTGGTCAAGTCAGCAATCCACACCTTTGCAGTGTGGGAGTCCACACTGTCGGGTTCAGCAGGCCAGGACCGCACAAACTCAGCCAGGGCCTGAAAAGGAGCCTGCAGGCTGAATGGCCAGTCCCAGCACACACACACACACACACGGTGGGGGCAGTGGGAGTCCCCCATACCTCTCCTCAAAGCCCCTGAAGCTGTTCCCTACGACCACCATCTGGGAGAGGGCCTCCGCAGACCAGTTGCTCCACAGCAGGTTGTTGTACAGCGCCTTCCCACAGTGGATCATGTAGAAGAGCGTGGGGCCCTCGATGCTCCGCTTCCCCTCCTGGGCAACAAAGGGCGTAGCAAGGGATGCAGGGCCGGCCTCAGGGAAGAGACCCCGATTGTGGCGGCAGGCACTCTGCCTGCTGACCCCCCCCCCCCCCCCACCCCAAGTTCACCTCGTTCCAGGGCAGCATGGTGAGGCCGAGGCCGCTCAGCACCTCAATCTCCAGCGTGGAAAAGACCGGGTCAAAGACGAAGCACATCTCGGGGGGAATCTGCAGGGCAACAGCCCGGAGGGCAGTGACTCGCACCAGGGCCTCCCCCGCCCTCCCCGCCCCCGCTGACGGCCCCAACCTTGAGCTCCTCCAGCAGCAGCAAGAGGAAGGCCAGCTGCAGGCGCGCCTTCCCGCAGGAGCAGAAGCTGCCCAAGCCGTAGCACACGCACCGCAGGCCCCCCGCTCTGCCCCCGGGACCCTCCTGCTCGGCTGCCGGGGGGCTCCGCAGGGCCTTCCAGATGGTTCCTGGATGAGGAGGAAGAGGCCCAAGCGGGCCCGGGCAGATCAGCACCCGCACGCTCCCCGCCCTCTCCTGGAGGCTCCACCACAGCCTTCCCCTGCCCCGTGTGGGGAGCCCTGGCCAAGGCGCCGGGCAGGAAGGGTGCTGGGCGGGAGGGTCTCCAGGGAGGGTCGGGGGCCGCTCGGTCCCAGGCCCCTTCCCCAGCGGAGCAAAGCCTCACTTCGGCTGGAGTCCCAGAAGTCGGAGTCCTTCAGTTCGGAGCTACAGAAGAAAGAAGGGAAGAACAGGAACTTCCTCTTAGGGGGGCATAAGCGCACAATCATGCCTATTCTGTCCTATTGTCCCCAATTATTAGTTCCTATTTCTTGTATTTAAACATGTTTATTCTTATTTCTGTCATATTGTAAGCGTTTGACAAAAATAATAATAAAATAAATAAGAAAACGAAGAGGACTTCAGACAGACAGGCACTTGGCTCACAACACGGCTGACATAACAATAGTTGAGAAGAAAAGGACTTGGTTCATTGAATTTGGTTTGGTTCATTTGATTTTGAACTTGATTTGGTTCATTCAAATACCTGGTGACGCACAAATTATAGACATGCAGCAAGAAAAAATCACCAAGTATCGGGACTTACAAATTGAAGTTGAGCGCCTTTGGAGAAAGAAACCGTGTGTGATCCCAATTGTGATTGGAGCCCTTGGAGCAATACCTAAAGGGCAGCCCCGCTATTTGGAAATCCTGAATTGATCAGACTTGGATACCTCGATTTTACAAAAAAAAAAAACCACCCTATGTGGAACAGCTTTTATCCTCCGACGCTACCTGAACAGTTCCCAGGTCCTTGCTTAGAACTCGAGCTGTTGAGCTACCAACCAGCCCCAAAGGCTGTGAATCTCACCAAAGATTAACCACCACCACCACAATTAACTCGGCGGGGCTCTGCCCTCCCGAGATAGACTGCGCCGGTCTGTGGAAGCTCCACGGGAGCTCTTCCCCTTTTGGCTTTCCTTTTTGGGGGGAGGGGGGGTTGTCCTTACAGCGCCTCCTGCAGCCGCCGCCTCTGCCGCTCTGCCGCTGCCTCGGGGCTCTCGTCCTCGGCTGCCCCGCGTCGCCCTCGCCGCCTTCTGCGCCCGCCCGCACCACCCCCGTCTCCGGCCATGCCGCAGCAGCAGCGGACGGCGGGGAGCGTCCCTCGGCGGCACCCGTCGCCGCGCAGCCAGGAGGGCGCGACTCTTCCGCGGGGCCGAAACCGCTTCCGCGCACGTGACTTCCTGGCGGAAGTGGCTGGCTTCTCCGGGTCTGGCTGCCGAGGGCGCCTCTGAGCATGGGCAGAGAGCCTCGCGGGGGGCAGGGGCTCCGGTCCCCCCCGCCGGTCCCCTGCGACCGGCTCTCCTCCCGCCTGTAGGCCCCGCTGCGGAGGCGCCGAGACTCCAGAATGGCCGCCGCCCCCCCCGCCTGGTACGCCCCCCCTTTGCCCCCCCCTTTGCCCCCCCGTCCCCCCCTCCCACCCCCCCCGCCCCTGTCCCGCAGGTGGCGCTGCTTCTTCCTCTACGACGCCTCGAAGGTGCGGGGCGAGGGCGACCCCACCCGCGCCGGGATCTGCTGCTTCCACCCGCGCCAGGTAGGTAGGTAGGCAGGCTCCCGGGCGGGCCCCTCCCCCCGCGCCCCCCCGTGCCTCCCCCCACGGCCTCCCTCCCGCCTTGCAGGCCCCTCGGGACGAGCAGGAGCTGCTGTGCGGGCAGATCGCGGGCGTGGCCCGCTGCGCCCTGGAGATCTCCGGCTCCCCGCCGGGCCTCGTCCGGCTGCGGAAGCTGAAGTTCGCGCTGGAAGCCGAGGGCAGCTACCTGTGGGTGAGTCCGGGCTGGGCGGCAGCGTGCCCGGGGAGGGCGGGGGGGGCTCGGTGCGGGTCACTCTGCGGGCTCTTCTCTCCTGCAGGTGCTGGGCTGCACCGCCGACCTCTCGGACCTCAGCTGCAGGCGGCTCCTGGAGCGGCTGGTGGGCCTCTTCCGCTTCTACAACGGGCCGCCTTCTCGGGCCTACGCGGTGGGTCGCCCCCTCCCTGCCTGGACTCTGCTGACCGTCAGCGGGGGTGGCGGGGCGGGGGGGGGGTGCTACTGCAGGTGGCAGGGTGTCTCTTGGTGCCCGTCTGCCGCCCTGCAAGGTTCCTCCCAGCTGGTTGTGCTTTTCTCCCTCCCTTTCCCTGGTGACCCTCTCTTCTCCGCTGCCCCCATCTGTGAGCGGCCATCCCGGTTCCCCTGAGCCCAGCGGGCTGACGCTGGGCGGCTCCGGCTGATGGCCAGTCCTGTAGGGCCACAGGTGGTTCTACGCAACCGTCGCACATCATAAATCACACTGTGTAGCCGCCCGGGGTGAGAGCTCGGCTGTTGCAGGCGACGGATGCAGCATCATCCTCATCCCCTCGTGGGAAGCAACTGGGGGTGTTTGGAAGCCTCTCGGTGTCAGTTGCCCCTCCAGCTGGGGGAGCAGTTTGGAAAAGTTCCTGGCAGTTGTGCTCAATGTTGTATCGGTTTGTGGTTTCTTCCAGCCTCGGCTCAAGCTGGGTACATTGAGGCCAGCCGAGCTGAGCCTGCCCTTTCTGCCTTGCCAGTGGGTTTGGGCAGCTGGCCTCTTCCCTCCTCTGTGCCCACTTCTGACCGGGGTGCCCTCTGTCCTTCGCAGGAGCGCTCGCAGGAGGACCTGGACCAGGAGTGGGAGCTGTACGTGAGCCACCTGCAGCAGAGTTCCAGTGACCTCCACCGGGCTTTTAATTCCCTCTGGGCCTTGGACAAAAGCAAGGTGCCTCCCTGGAGGGCTGGGGCAGGTACTTGCTGCGCTTCCTTATGGTGCAGCCAGAACTAGGAGGGGCCAGGTGGGACGAGGCCCTTTGGCTGCCCCCAGGGCCTAGGAGGGCCATTGGCTTTCTCCTCTTTGGCAGGTGGACCCTTTGCTCCTGTTGAAAGCGGCCCTCATCCTGCAGAGCTGCCAGCGTTCCCGCCACGTGCTGGCCGGCTGCATCCTCTACAGGGGTCTGTGAGTGTTGGGGGAGGGGGGGGGCTTTGCTGAGCGGCCCTGGATACAATCTGCTCCCCAAGTGCTGTGTATCAGATGGGGGCCAGATCCCCTGTGCCCCACATGCCCCCTCCGATGTGAAGGCCTCCACCTGGCCGAGTGGCCAAAGGCCTTCTTGTACTCTTAGATGACCCCGTGGGTGACCTCTCCTTCCTTTCCCCACGCAGGGTGGTCAGTACACAGCTGCCACCTGAGCTGACTGCCAGAGTTTTGCTGCAGAAGCGGGCCGAGGAGGGAAGCGTAAGTTGTAGCTGTGCCAATGTCCCTTGGAAGGGTTGGGGGGAGGGGGGCCGGCCGTGATATAATCCCCATCTGCAAAAGGCAGTCTTTTTTTGCAGCTTGGCTAACTCTGCTTCCATTCTAGAGTGGGCCGGACAAGAAGGCAGCGCAGTTCAAAGAGGGTAAGCTGAGAGGCTGGGCATGGCTCCGTCCGCCCTCTGGGCCCTGCTGCCCACTTGCCAAGCTCCTCCTGAGCGCCTGAGGATTCTGGGTGGCTCTTTTCTCTAGGCAGCTCCCTGGCCTCTTTTGTGCCAACAACTTTACCGCCAGGGGTCTGTGTCACGCCTGTTTACCTCTTGGAGGATGAAGCAGCCGCCCTGCGGGAACTGCCTGTAGAGTGGATGACCAGGTAAGGCCAGAATTGCGACCGTCCCCTTAGGCTGGGCTCTCCCTTGTGGCTTCGGCGACTCCATCAGGCTCTCCGAGGAGATTCCCAGCCTCACCTTCTCACTTCTGTTGCCAAGGCAGGTGCCCTCTGGCCTCCCCGTGCCACTCCAGATGGCCCCGCTGCCTTCTGGTGTCCAGTTAGGGCAGCCCTTCTGCCCAGACAGCCAACCATTCCCCAGGGGAGGCAGGGAGGCCCCCGCCCTTCCAGGGGGGCGGGTGTGTGTGTGTGTGTGTGGCAGGAGGGGCCAGCCCAGCTCACCCATCTTGCTCGGCCAACACAGGAGGCCCCAGGGGGACCTGGCTGGCCGCAAAGGGAGAGAGACTCCCGCAGGAGGGGCCGATGGGGCTGCATGGGTGAGGATGGCCTTGTACGTTCACCCCATCCGGGACCTGGTGCTGGCCCTCCTGGCTGAAGAGGCCTTGGTGAGCTCCGCAGCCTTCATGGAGGACGTGGTAAGGAAAGTGTGCCCCCGCCCCTCGCTCAAGGCTCTGAAGGAAGCCTTTTGTTCAGGGAAGGGGGCCAGGCCGCCTGCCCTCCGGGACCCTTCATGTGGCAGGCGCCTGGAGGAAGCTTCGCAGGCGGGACTCGGGGGGGGGGGGGCCCCCCACAAACCTCTCTCCCCCTCTCTCCCCCTCCCCCAAACTCACAGTACCACAGCAGCCTGGCCTCCCTGAACGGCCTGGAGGTCCACCTGGCAGAGACCCTTCCCAAGGGCCCCCTCCCCTCGGCCAGGAGCACCTACAACTTTGCTCACTACGATGCCGTCCAGAACATCCTCACCAGTGAGTGGGGGAGCGGCTGGGGCAGCCTCCGGCCAAGATGGGGGGCAGCCCCCCCTCTCCTGCCCCGGCATCCCTGACGGCGCAATCCTTTGTCCCTCCAGCCAACACCCTGCAGGCCCTGAGCCCCGAGGACCAGCTCTTCCTGCAAGCCACGGGCCTGATCCATGCCACCTTTGAGCGGCTGCCCACCGCCTCTGAATTGACGCTCAGGTAAAGCTGGGGGGAGGGCGCAGGGGGGGCCATGGGGGCCATGGACGGAGCTGCTCGGGTGAGGCCTTGCTAGGCCGTGGCACCGTTAGCCCTGCACCCTCCACGGAGGCCGTGGTGAAGGACCAGAGCCCTCCCGCCACCCAGCAGACCGTAACCAGTCACAACCCTCTGCTTTGGTTCCACGCAGCTCTGTCGCCAGCCAGTCGCTGCTGCCCGAGTGTGCGGCTGGCGCAGTTGCTGCAGCCGCCTTTTCTGCACTGCTCCCCCAGCCCCAAAGGCCCCTGCCCGTCTCTTGGTCTGTTCCAGGAACGCCAGCACAGCTGTCTACGGCTGCCGGAACGCCGTCCAGGAGAGCTACTTTCAGCAGAGGGGTTCGACGCCCTCCAACTCAGGGGTGCCCAATCCCCGGGACAGCATCGTCGGTCTGCCCGGCAAGGCCAGGCTGAAGCTGCTCAAGCACGGGGTGAACCTGCTGTGAGGCTGGACTCGATGCCCCTCCAGGGCGGCCTCCGTCCCGGCGCAGAGGCCTTGGAAGCCTGCCAATTGCGCTTGGCCCACCGACTCCTTGCCACGTCTCCCCAAGGCCTGCCCGCCGTTGGCCCTGCCTGGAGGGAGCAGCGGTTCAGCTGCTTCTGCATCTCAGGGCCCTTCTGGCCTGGGGGGTCCCCACCTTGGGGGGGGGGAAGCGCTCTGCTGGGACTCCGCCCTCACCAGGGCCTGCAAGGGCAGCGCCCCCCACTTCAGAAATGGGGAAACAAGGGGGGCCTTTGGAAAGGCCAGAGCGTGGCTGCTGCTGCCCCCTGCCAGAAGAGGAGGAGGAGGGGGAGCTGCAGCAGTTGTGGGGGGGTCTTCTCCGCCCTCTCTGAACGGCAGAGGGTGGCACTGAGGGGAGCCTTCCTCTGCCCGGCTCTCACCCACGGCCCAGGCTTCCCCATTTCCGGGGCGGGGGAGTCTTCGCTAAGGAATTCCAGCCTCTCCCCCTGTGCTGAGGTGGATGGTGCCCATGGCCACGCCCCTCTCTCCTGCATTCCCTGGGAAACTCTCTTCTTCGAGGTGGGGGGGGGGCTTGAGTGGGGGGTTTGGGGGAGAATAAAGTGGCTGACTTTTGCTCTCTGGCTCTCCCGGCCTGCACTCTCGATCGCCAGCTCTGGGTCCCCGACGGATGCCCGGCGTCTAGCAGGAGGGCTTGGAGGGAGGGAGACCGCCACTGGGCAGCCCTGTTGGAGTGTTTGCGTAGCAACAGAAGGCCCGAAGGGAAACCGCCTCGGCCGCCGTCTGTCAGCCCAGCCGGCAAGGCCGCCCACACAGGAGCCAAGGGAAGCTCATCCTGGACACGGGCCGTGTGTTGACCCAGAGGGATGCCGGGAGGGGGGACAAAACCCCTCCCCCATCTCCCCCGTCAGTTGGGGGTCGCTGAGTTCTGGTGTAAAAGTCGCCTGGGGCATTCATTGGGTCCCAGCAAAGGGGGGGGGCTTCCTCTGCCCCTTCCTCCCCCCC